AAAAATAAACTTTCCTAAATTGCCCTTTATGGTGTTCTTGGCTTTTTGGAGTGTAAAAAGCCAAAAATTCTCGAATATTCAAATGTGATTGTATTAACTCTTTTTTAAAAAAAAATTGCAATAATGAGCACGTATATTATGTTCTCTGCGGGGGAAAAGTCACCTGATCGATTTACGAGGGGTATGGCTTTTGGTAAAGCAACGCCCCTTACATGCTTGGGATCTTACTCTTGAGATTGTGGGTCACCATGGCATCAATATCAGCTTGCGAAACCATGCGAGGAGTAGAGTTGTTTTGGGAAGCCGGTGGGAGAGTTTGCCTAAGGGCTCTGATGTATAGAGAAAAATAATAAACTAAAAACACAAAAATGAAAATAAATGTTGATAGAATATATTCTCTCTCTAAGTTTATAAGGGAAGAGTCCGCTTTTAACACTTCCCTTTAAATACAAATTACAAGGAATAATAAAATAAAAATAAAAAATAAAAAATTAAACTTTATCCCTAGGAAGTCTCTCTCTAACCCATAAATCTCTCTCAGTTCATTATCTCCTTGGATTTAAGAAACACCATCTAAAAATGACGTGGCTCCTCTACGTATTTTTTTAACACATCCCATTAGCCGTGGAATAAATCACGGCCATGCTAAAACCAAGTATATCAAACTAAAAATCCAAATAATACTTTTTTTAAAATTCAAAAAATATAAAAATAAAAGAAATTAAAAGAACCCAATTTTTATTTGCGTCACATAGTTTATTTTTATTCCGGTTAGAAGACCTACTTGAGAAGACTTTTTAAGTCTGAAATTTAGGAATCACTTAAAAGAATCACTTAAAAATTACTAGATGATTATTTTGAAAAGAAAATTTAAATTTTCTATGTGCAATCTTATAACATGTTATTTTTCAAGTGCATAGAGAGTGATATTAGGAAAATTCTTTCTTTGAGATTGATCCATAGGTTTAAAAGGGCATCCCCAAATTTCAGGGGCCCAAAATTACTCTTAAGTTGGGTTTTATCTGAGGGAGTATATGGACATATGCTCCTCCGGGAGCATAAAGTTTTTTGGCAACATTTTTTCTCCAAGTTCGAATCCTTCCACTGAATTACCGAAATTTTTTTGCATGATATCACTTATGACCAGCGTTTTAAAAAACGCCGAGTCGAACCGGAGGAAATAGTGAAAAAGGAACCGGATCGCCCAAAAATCGGAAATCGTCTGGTTCTAGAGAGAACCGGACGATTCTGCACAGTGAATCGCCGATTCACTGTACGGAATCGGCGAGTCCGAATAGTGAATCGGCGATTCCGTACGGAAATTATTATTATTATTATTATTATTATTATTATTATTATTTATTTTTTTTTTTTTATTTTTTTTTTTTTTTTTTTTTTTTTTTTTGGTAATCCATGATAGATTTTTTTTGTTTAATCCATGTATCGAATTTTTTGGTTTTTTTGTAACCCTACTAATTAGAATTTTT